TCAGCAGATAAATTTAATGCACACAGAACAGATTTTTTTAAAAAAAATTCTCATAGCTACCATATAGATCACTTTCACACTACCTGGTTATGTTCCTTCTACACAATATAATGTTTTATTTAACAAATCACTTTCATTTTCATTATTTTAACAAATTACTTTCAGTAGACTTAGTGACTATGTTTTCAAATCAAATAAAAGTTCCCTTATTCTTCAGTAAAAATGGATATAATCTGAGTTGAAATGAGACATTAAGTCACCCATCAGTTTACAGCCACCTTCATTTTTAGATTCTGATCACCTTTTGTTTGGACAATTTAAAATATGATTTTTAAGAATTTAGAAGTACTTTTATTTTTTAACGTTCCATAGTAATTTCAGATGCTGGTTTAGCCTCCTAATTATGCACACAAGTTTGTGAAGAACTATGCTGCACGAAGAACTATGAAGAAGGTTATGATTCCATGTATTTAAACATCTTCTCCAAGTCAGGGAGAGCCTTATAACTTCTAAGGAATACATTTAATGTACTTTTGTCTCTCCCTGGGGAAAGGAATATGAGAGTAGAAGAAATAAATTAAATATAACAATATGATTCTTTTCCTTTACTATCCACCATCAATTTGAAATTTGAGAAATTAAATTAAATTTACCAGTGCTGCGCTGCTCAATATTATTATAAAAATGATAAAATTTTCAAACCAGCTGTGTTTAACAATTCTGTAACAGGTTTTTCTAAATCTCCACCACATTCTGCCTGGAAACTTAGTGATATCCACTGCACAACATGGGGAACACACAAGACAACCTGAAAAGAGAAACAACATATTGGTTCCATGGGAAACATTGAGACATGGAATCTAAAAAGTGTAGGACATCTTTAAATGAGCTTATACAGACCATACAAAGAATGGGGTGTTTTCCCTAAGGGGTGATCCTGTGGGTAAAATGATCTAAAGCTAAAGAAAAGACAAAAATTGTAGGCCAAAATAATGTTTTTTAATAGAGCAACTCATACATGGAAAAAGAAAAAGAACACATCACTTCTGTCTAAAAAACTTGCTTATTTTATTTTCTGCATTTAAAAGAGATATTATGGTACTAGTGATTTAGTATATTATTATTTTATTGATTATTTCACTTGGTTGCACTGCATAGATGTTACAAGAAGATTCTCTGTTTTACACCACAAACACTTCATTAACCTTCAAAGGCAGCAAGATTGGACAGTGAGAATCAGTGGATTCTAATTAAGTGGATTAAAGGTAAGTGTCCACACTGGGAGGAGCTGCACAGCCCTCTGGATTCCATTAGCTATAATGACCAGAGATTCATCCACTGTACTGGGAGGCTGAACAAATTCATCTGAAGTGCCATTTAAGACACCAGGTCCCAACATACATATTCTGACAGACCTCCAGCTGTCCCTTCAGAAGTGCTTTAAGTGCCCTTGCTCAAATACAGATACCGACCGTCTGATGCCTCAATATAAGACTGAAACACACCCCAAAGATGACAGTTTGCTGCCTAAACACAGGTCTTTAGAACCATTTAGGCCTCTTTGAATATACTGCAGCTTCAGTGACAGTTATGCCAGCTTCATACAGTTGTTCTGTAGAGTCTAAGGCATCTCATACCATACCAAATGCCTGTGTTCAGGCATCCCAACCCTGCTCCAGTTCTGTGCTGGCCTCAAGTATATTTTTTTTTGAGTTTATATGTGTATAAAGTGTCTCAGGAAACAATTTCTGTCAATTTGGAAATGTTCCAAACATTTGGTGTGACCATGATATATAAAAGATTCTTACTTTCTGCACAACAGTCCTTTGGTAGAAGTAACTTTTTAGGCTGGGGAAACAACTCCAGAAAACTAACTGGATCCACAGTGCTGGCTTCAGAATAGCTACCAGCATCACTTTTCTGCACAGGAGAAGGGTAAAGAAGAGAATTTATTTGCTTTTCATTAATAAAGTCACCAGACGTAAAACAAATTAAACATATCACCCCCTCAAAAAAAATTCTGCAGCATATAAGTTGTCTTAATGTTGCTGAAATACCAAATTAAAATTACCAATTATAGGACAGAAAAGATTAATGCCTACTCTTTGTTTCTATGGTTTTAATTTAACAAGCTTCTTCTATTTGTCTACATTGGACTTACAGGAAGGAAAATGTGTAGAAGATACTATATTATGCTACAACTTCAGAGAAAACTCTGATTTCTTCATGCCAATCCAATTCTCTTTTCATTTTCACAGATACAAATTATGTCTCAAAAGGCTTGGAGATAGGAAACCTCAGCAGGAGAGAAATGTACATATGGTCTACACATCCCAAAGAATTGTAGTTATGGGTAGGTAACCTACACACCTATAAAACTATAGACAATAAGGAAAAAAAAGTATAAAGAAAAAGGAATGAAGTAATCTAGCAGCCATGAAGTGTAAGTGCCCTGTATGACATGGAAAGGGAAGGCAAGAGGCGAGGGAAAAGAAAGAGAAGGCAGTAGGGGGAATTGCCTCTGTTGACAGCCATGCTGCTCTGCATTAATGTGAGGCCCTAGGAAACCTCTGACATAGACAAAACTGCAATTGTTTCAAGTTCATTGGCATTTTAATATTTTTAATATTCATTTTTTAACATTTATAAATAATGTGTAACAGACAAAGCTTCTGGTGACTTTATTTAAAACTTAAAAATGTTACAGTCATTTGATTTTTGGAGGTAATAATTCAGAGAGCTGCTGAACTTCCATTTAATTTTCTGGGTCATTGGAGGCAAGCCATGATTCCTCATCTTTTTTGATGTGGAATTGTACTGTATTTGAATAAGCTAGGGGTATAGACCAGAAAAAGTATGGTAGTTTTGGGAACTATTTCTAGAGAACAATTTTTTGCATCAAAGCATGGCAGCAAACAGAATTATCTATAAAAATGAATAGTTTGTAGCAGATACGTTTGAAGAAAGTGCATTTCATGATTAATTTCTATTTACTCATTTTATACAAAATAATAGTTTCAGTGTTAGCCATGGTTGTTGATGAGACACAAACCTCCATGCTTTAAACTGTCACTTGTAGACAGATTCAGAGGGATTATAATTACAACCCTTTGGAAAACCCCAGCTTGTCCTGTCATTGCTTAATGAGAGAACCACTGTGACAATTTTAATCTCTAGGATATTTCACAAGATTATAAAAGTTAAGATTACCTCTTTTTGCTCTTCCTTTTGGTATGTTTCTGAAAAACCACTTATACTTCCAGAAGTCCCAGAAACCTGACTGAAGCCACTTGAAGTCCGGCAGTGCCCTCTCTTTCTTAATCTGTCTCCCTGCACATAAATAATGCCAAACAATTGATTTCCAAAATTTTTCTTCCTGGCAGTAATTCTTAGAAGTCAAAATTCTTTGGCAGAATCTAAAGCATCCACAAAATTTAACAAGTTTGTCTTTTTACAGATAATTAAATTATAACCCTAAAAGGCAAGTGAAAGAATGGTTTCTTTTTCACTTTCAAATACTGTGGTCCTCTGGTTATGATGTGGAAATGTATCACTCATCAACTCCTCCATTTAGCCCACTGATGGATTCCTGATTCCAATTCAGTAAATTCAGCAGAACTTTCACAGCTAGACCCTCACAATCTCATGTTTCTAGTTATAGACAGAAGAGCTTAGTGATCCAAATCAGCTCTCAGTACTTTTGACACTACAAATTCCAAGCAACACCAGATTCTCCTGAAGCAGAGGAAGAATTTCTGTCATCAAATGCTGATGGACAACATATTTCAAATAGCCACAGATGACTCTAGGATGATCAGCAATTTCTGAGAGCCTGGCTAAAGACATTCCACCGACGACACCTCCTTTCATGACCAAAACCATAGAAAATGGACCCTAACAGTCCAGCTACACATTGACTATAAGATAATTCATCCAGAAATTGCACCTGCATTTGACACGTCTGCAATGCCATAACACCTGTACCTTGAGCCCAAATACCTGTTATGATAGATGTAAAATATGGTGATATCACAAACATAACACAACTGACACTCATAAAATATAAACTTTAACATGCTAATCTAGACAGAGTACAGTCATCAAAGCCTGGTGTCCCACTTGAGCTTACTACTCATACATTTGGATGTGTTTTTTAGATGAGCCAAACCCCATATTGTCACACATTTACATCATCATCTTTACCTACAAAGAAAAAAAAAAAAAAACACTGTGGCAACATCTTAGAAAAGCTCATTCCTACTTGAATGTGGTGCCTGGAAAAATAAGCAGAGATGAATAAAAAGACTTAGATGAAAATCATGGGCTACTTTCTGAAAGAGGCTTTCTCGCTTGCTTTATGTGAAGAACCTACAAAACAGTCCATTATTCTGCTGTATAAGCCAGCTCCTATTTGTACTTCCTTTAGCAGAGGTCTGAGAAGGCTTAAGTTGTGGTTTCTTTGGGTTTTTGGAGGGTTTTTTTGTTCACCTTCTGACAAAAGATTGCAGGGATTTGTAGAATCACAGAATCATAAAATTATAGAATGGTTTGGGTTGGAGGGACCTTAAAGATCATCTAATTCCAACCCCCCTGAAGTGAGCAGGGACACTTTTTACTACACCAGGTTGCTCAAAGCCCTGTCCAACCTGTCCTCCTTGAACACTTCCAGGGATGGGGCATCCACCTTAACCTTAACCTGCCCAACATAACAAAATCAAGAAATATACAGGGGAGTCCAAAGATGAAACTTTTAGTTGCATTCTCTTTGGATTCCATGCAGCTGAGAAGCAACATATAAGCAACACAAGAGGCCTGTCTTCCAAAAATTCCAGATGCCATCTGTAGGGCAAAGGAGACAAAAAAAAATGCATGTCTTGATCAAACTGCATTTGGCAACTGACAGCAATAAATGGAAACAGAACACATAAAAGTAGAGTTACAGCTATCAGTGAGGGGAATGATGAAAAAGTGGATATTCAACATCTCTTCTTGAATAACTAAGACTATTTGGTAGCTTTTGCTACTAGAACAAAGAAAGTTAAATGGCAGAAAGGACAGAAGGGATAACATTTACTGTTGAATCTTTGAGATTATATTTACAGATGCAAGTTAGAATAATTTTTCAAGTATTAATATTCCTTACCTGTTTTGCATACTCTATTTCTGTGCGTACACTTTGCTTATCATCACCTTCCTGAGAGGAAGTCTCTGCTACTACAATAGGAACAGAAATACTACAACTGGTTAAAACTTGCTCATATTTCCTTGTAACTGAGGAATTCTCTTCAGTGTCATAATACTCAATGTCAAAGCAATTGTCTCTATCCTTTCTGACATCTGTCATGGCATAATTATTTTCCTCTATGCCTTTGGCAGCTATTTTCACTGAATTCTGCTTTTTGGCTGTTGCTTTGAGGCTCGGTTTCATTATTTTGCCACAACGATCCCAAATTGTGCCTTTCACAGCCTGCAGACCCCTGTGAATCCGTGCGATGGCGATCTGACACTTAGTCATCTGTTCAGGCTCCTCTTGTCCCGTCGAGGAGTCAGTACTGAACGAGCTCAGCAGCAAGGCAATGAACAGGTTGAGCACCTTAAAAATAGTTCAAGTAAGTTTGAGACAACACTAATGCTAATAGAAAAGATATTTCAGAAAACCTTCCTTAGATGAAAACTTAATCTTGTTTTCATCAAACACTGCAATGAAATTATTTGCTATTAAACTGGAATATTAATATGATGACTCTTCCTGAATGGGATGGCAGGAGAAAAGGGAAGGAAGTTTGGGTATATGAAATATATTTTCACATACTCTGATGTTTATAAAATATGAAGAGGTAGATGTGTTAAAAAACAGCAGGCAAAGAAAAAAATTAATAACACCAATCAAATAGGATCTGGTATAGACCAACAAACCAAGCAGATGAAAAAGATCTCATCTTCCAGTATACATACTTTAGATCCAGTATACATCACACAAACTAGAAAATATGGGATATTAGAAATTTTTCATAATATAAGAATAAATTGATAAGGATTAAAAAGTGATTAACAGTTTGGTTATTTGATCCTAGCAACACAAAACTTAGTCATCAGTAATCAGACTGTAGTTATCAAAACTAATTTTCAAAAGAATTATCAAAAGCACTGCACTTCTATACTCTGGCTAGAAGGAATAATTTTGTGTATTTTTCTTAGCAGCTACCTTTTTTGTAAGACGGAGAAAGATGGGGAAAAAGGAAAAAAGACAGAAGAAAAACACTTATTTAGTAACATCCAGAAAAGAGAATAGTGTGAATAATCTTCAAATGATGAAGGTTGCCTCTGTAAAAAAGATGCCTATGTAACTGAATGCATTCAGTAGGGACTGAAAAACATCTTGAAACTCACCACCAGGTTTCCTATCACCAGGACTAGCAAGAAAATGGGAAGACACAGCCCTTTTCCAGCCACTTCCATACATTCCCACATGGTTTCGATCCATTCTCCACATAATATTCGGAATATAATCAGGAACGAATGACAAAAGTCCTTCATATGCCAGCGTAAATCCCCATCAGTGTTTATTCTAAGATAATTATCTGCATAAAAATTGCCCAAAACCTGCTTCCCTACTACAGCAAAAATAAATACAGTGATAATCAAAACCAGAGTCAGGTTACCCAGAGCACCAACTGAGTTTAGAATTATTTTCATAAGAGTATTTAAGGCTGGCCAGGACTTTGCCAATTTGAAGATCCTGAGCTGCAAGCAAAACGTAAGAGAACAATGTGAGTGGTGAACATTGTACAAATAGCACAGCACACATTAAAAACAGACCCTGCATTTCTCATGCTGTCTTTACTGCAGTAACATCATCAGAATTTTTCCCCCAAAGCAAGCTTTCTAAGTGCTCCAATCTAAAAGCACTGTCCTTAACCCTGGATGTGACTGAGAATAGAGAAGTGTCAAAGGAAGCTTTCAGATTGCTTGTGCCAAGTTAGATACAAGCATGTGCAGATCTACTAGTACTAAGAGAAATAAAAATAGTAGTAATAATAATCATGGGGCTTACAGGTACTTGGACAAGGCTTATGCAATGACTGCATTTTGCACTAAATCAAATGTGAGCAGATAAAAATTGAAAAAAGAATTTTTTCTACCTCTCACCTAATGGATTTTAAATAGGCTCTGAAAAGCCATATGGAATCTATTTGACGTACCCTCATGAGTAAAAAGGGCATTTTTAGTCAAATGATTAGCACTCAGGGGTGTGAAAATCTCTTAGTTATGATACGCAAGACAAAACAGAATTCAACGGAATTTCTAGGTAGGATGACTCAGAAAAGCTATGAAGAACATTAGAAGTAATTAGTAAATTTAGCACTTTAAATACACAGTAAGGACATCAGCAAAAAAGTAACATTATACATAGACATCTCAGAGCCTCTTTTTCCCTAAGACAGAGGAAGGCCTTGAGGAGACTTACAAATCTCAACTCAAAAGGAATAGCTGCAAAGGAACCTTTCCTATCTTTAAGTTCATGAAAACACTCAGATAATATCTCTTCCTAATTGAAGATCTGGAGTTGAGCAGTGCCACTGTACAGGCCTAACAGAGAACCAGTGAATTCTGCTGTGTCAAATCTCCAAGGGGTGCCCTGTGCCAGAGGATCTGCAGTATCCAATATACACAGCGTAATAAACATCTTGAATGTATTCTTTAATATTCATTCTAATTAAACATTCAGCTTGCTATTTACTAACAAAGAGTACTGATTTAACAGATTCATAAAATAAATAATTTGTGGGTATTTCACTGTAATCTTTTACAAATCTGTACAACACATGCTTTTAAAAAAAGAATAAAGAAATAATTACCAGCCTGAAAGCTGACAGATTTGCTTCAAAGCTTATTAGGCCAACCATAACAACTATGCTATCAAAAATATTCCATTTTTGCTGAAAATAATTATAAGGATCTAGAGCAATGATTTTCAAGATCATTTCTGCTGTAAAAATCAAGGTGAAGACCTGGAAGGAGTAAAAAAGAAATTCAGAAAAAAGTCACTGAAAACGTGTCTCTCCTTCTGAGACTCTCCCAGCATAAATATGGGGTTGTAACTCCATTTTCACTCTACAACAGACTTAACTTACCTTGTCACTTATATAAATCATGCTTTGGTAAGTAGGATCCAGGTCAGGATGCTCCAGAGCCATGAATATGGTATTCACAATAATGCAAACTGTGATTAAGAGATCAACAAATGGATCCAAAATTACCAATTTCACCTTCTCTTTGATTACTCTCCAGAATGGACAGTTCCAAATTAGATACTTTTGAGCAAAACGTTTGCATAATGATGGGCACTTCAATTTTGACTCTTGCAGGTCTACATGACAAAGAGGGAAAGTGGCATATGAATAATCTTATGTGGAATATCATAGTATGAAGAAAAAGACAGTCATAGAAAAGAAATTGATTTTATGTGAGCAGAATGGCATAATTAAAAAAAAAAATTGTTTCACTCATTCTATGCAAACTAATCACAGGCTATTTAAAGGTCACCATCAACAAATCTCATAATTACAGGAGCAGGTGGCATTAGCCACCTCTTCATATCTTTACTGTACTGTTGAAGGATGAAAGAGGATCTGCATTAAGGAGAAACAACCTAACTGTCTCTAGGAAACGGATAACTTGTTTTCTGTGAGTTGCATCTGTGCAGTCACAGATGCAGCATGGGTAGAAAAAAAGCCCAGGATAAAAGCAAGAAGGATGTCCTCAGTTGAGGATAGGGTTATAAGATAAGTCAGGTTGGAAGGGACCTCAGGAGACCTCTAGTGCAACCCCCTTCTCAAAGCCAGGTCAGCCATGAGGTCAAGGGCTGCTTAAGCTGTTCCTCTGCCTGACTGTCCTCATGGTGAACGCTTCTCCTGACACACAGTTTGAAGCTCTCTTCCTTCAATTTATGTCTCCTGTCTCACCCTCCCACTGTGTACCACTGTGAAGAGCCCATCTCTGTATTTGTTCTAATGTCTTCCTATACACTGGAAGACTGATATTACATTCTCAGCACCTTCTCTTCAGGCTGAACTAGCCCAGCACTGGGCAAGTGCTCCAGCCCCTGAGTTGGTGTGCCTCTACTGAACTCCATGTATTTCTTGTAGTGCAGGGGCTGGAGGGGGAAAGTGGGCATAGTATGTAGGCTAGAAAATGCTCAATAAAGGGTAACAATCACTGTTCTCCTGGCTATGCTCCTTTTAGTACAATCCAAGATGCTGTTAGATGTTGCTGCTGCAAGGGCACGTTGCTGACTTGTCCTCAGCTCACTGCCCACAAGGACCTGCTGAGCCCTTCCTGCAGAGCTGCCTCCCAGCCAGCCAGCTCACAGCCTGTGTTGTTGGAAGAAGTTCTTGCAGATATGCAGAAGTTTACATTTGTTCTGGATGAATTTTCCTAAGGTTCTGGTTGGCCCACTCGTCCAGCCTGGCTAAGTCCTTCTAGGTGGCAGCCCCAACCTCCAGTGTATCAGGTGGTTCTTGCCCAGTTTGGTGTCATCTGCAAAATTCATGAGCAAGCCCTTCATTGCCTCCTCCAGGTTGCTTAGGACAATATATGTCCTAGGATACACCCCTATGGCACTCCACTTGTTACCTGCCTCCAGGTAGAATACAACCTCTTCACCAGACACTCAAAGCCCAAAAATCCAACCGTTTGCTGTGGGAGACAATGTTGAAAGCCTGCCTAAAGTCAGGATAAATGAAAACATTGCTCTCCCCTCATTCACAAACCCCATTCATTTCATTGTATAGGGCAATCAAGTCAGTCAGACATGATTTACCCTGGTAATTGCAAGTTACAGTTATGTGAGACACAAGAATATTTATTTTACTGAAATTTACATTTGATTGAAGCATAATTTCCCCTAGTGACTTTTAAAATCATGCTGACTGTGACATTTTGATCTCTTAGGTCAAGTTCCACAATCACTATAGGGAAAACACTAAAAGATGACTTACGCAAATTATCTGTAATAATAGTAGCTGCACTCATTAACCTCTGTCTTCGAAAAGGATCATTAATGGAGTCCACTGACAATTCATAGGACAGCAGTATCTGCTTCTTGGGTTGGGAAGATAACAGAAGATAATATAACAAGGGAATATGAATAAATGGTAATATAAAAATCACATCCAGTGTAAGATTAATGAGCCTTTTACAATACAGACTGTAAAGAAGCCTTACCTTGCTGAAAGAATGTAAACCCATACAACAACATCATGTGTTTGCCTCCTAAGGCAAATGACATTTTATCAAAACTAGTAATATTTTTCAAGAAGTTGTTTCCTTCTGAAAATATTTAACAATAATAATGTCATTATATAAGGAGTATAGAATCATTAGCAGAGGAGTAAAGGAAAAAATCTTTCCATCTTCCCAGTGACTGATAACAAGTACATACAAAAAGAACCCTGATGATCAGTTTGAATAAATTATTGGGTATTTTATTATGAATGATTGATTATTGATAAATAATCGATATTTATTAGGAACAGTTTAGTATATCAAAACTATCAGTTTTCCCAGCCCTGTTAAGCCAATCAAGATCTATGCTAATACTGAACTGCATAAAACTAGGAATGGGACTACTTTTTTTTTCATTAACAGTTATAGAATGCTAAACTTGGTGTTCCTGATGTGCACTAAAGAACAGACAGGTCAACACCTATATTTTATGGGGCACATTGAATTGTTATCAAAGATTCAGTTCATGACACTTTAATACATACACACACACACTTCTTAAAGACTAAGCAGGCAACTGTAAAATATGTTGCAAAGAATAGGTGAGACTCTAAAGTACCAAAAGAAACCAGAAAGAACAGAGATTCCAGTATCAGGGAGGACATAATTAGACCTGTCAGTTGACAGGGAGTTACTGACTCACCACACCATAGTGCACAGTACCTCAGCATTCCCTTTCAGCACAATTTGATTTGTTTCATTTATCTTTTGTGGGGAGGGTGTAGAAGTAAAGACATGTCATACCTGTTCTTCAAACTTTCACAATAATATAATTTCTATGAACATATTCTATAAAAGTCTTATTCAGCAAATGAAACTGATTCCCTTGGCCTCAGGGGTTTAATAATAATTGCTGCTTCTTGTCTTTCTGGTATTTTAATGACTGGAAAAGCTAAACAAAACATAGCTGACAGAACAGCCATAGAATAGACACAAATATTCTATAATACAGTGCTAAAATGTTCATTTTTCTATCTGTAATTTTTAGAATCTTAAAGACTCAGACTATTCTAATCATGCCCCAGTTACCAGTGCTACTGGTACTTTCATTCCTTTCTATAATGTTTGGTGTCTGCAGAGGAGAGAAACCTAGAAAAGTTTGTGTGCCACCCTGGCTAAAATTCTGTCTCCTTGTTGAAATTCATGTCTGTTCAGAATCCTTCAGAGTTAGTGTTTTTAGAAAGTTTAAGAACATCCATCAACACTGAACTGGTTACTGCTACTCATCTATCTTTAGATGAAGCTAACGACTGGTGATAAGGAGTCCTCTGACAATCTGGGATTTAAAATAGGGACATGCACTTGAAAAACAGTCTGTTCAAATTTCTGTAGAACTTCTTAAGTTTCTACTCAACATGTTTTTTTCTTCTTTTGATTTAGCATCTTCAGTTTATTTTGTGATTAAAGTAGAGAGTTCATTGAAGAGTCCTCAAGTTCAGCAGAGACAGTGTTGTATTTGACTAACGGTAGAACTCTACAGCAGAGCATCTCACACTGCAGGTTCTGATGCTATCATCTGTTTCCAAAAGTCCCCATACAGAGACATCAATAACTCTTTTCCCCACAGAGAGGGGAAGAGACCTTGGAGATGGTCTGAAAATGTTATATCTGAAATGTAAAAATACAGATTGTATTTGGCACCCAACCTGTGCAAAACTTGCAGCCTTGGAGAAGTAAGGTGTAAGAACTAAACCAAATTTATCTTGTGGTTCAGTCACCACCTGCAACACAGTCACAGACTTAAAAGAAAATAATTAAATAGGCATAATCAGCCAAAAAAAAAGGTGATTTTTATAATTCTAGAAGATATGGCACTTGCTATAGAAAGATCTTTGTTTCAGTAAGCATAATAATACACTGCCATGGGCTGTGATAGAATATTCCCTTTAAGTACAGTAGAATCAAATCAGGGAACAAAATGGCTTAATATTCTTAACCTGGCAAGGGGAAAACTAATGGCACTCTCTAAGAAGCAAATACACTAAAAGAGATGACAGATGGCAGTTGCTGCCAAGTGGATGATTTTGACTCCTTCAGCTGTAATACAGCTAGGATCATGGAATTTGGAAGAAATTCTGACCATGCTGACTGAATGAAAACCTAATCCATTTTAGCTCCAACATGTCTGATAAAAACTTTTCCTACAAGGCCACTTTTCAAAGGAAGAAAGCTGGGCCATTACTCCTTTAGCTCTGCTACTGGAAAGTTTACATTTCCTACGAGATGGGTGGGAACAGTTCTGATGTTCTCCCACAAGCAAGAGAGAACTTGTCACAAGACAAAACCAACTATCATTTGGGGGTTACAGAAAATACATTGGGAGACAGAGGGGTGAGGGATAACATCAAAATGAACAGTGTATATTTTGGTTATGATTTCCAGCTTTCCACATCTAGGGACTCTGCTCAGTCACAGTAAATGTTCATCAAAGTAATGGACTGAAGAAACACATCTGAGAGGGTGAATGAAAACTGGTCTGAAATTCCAGACTGCATTATCAAAGGTGTGACATGGAAATAGGATTTCAGTCAAGGTATTATTTGGACACAAACATCTATTTTTGCACCGTTTGTTTTTCCAGTGGACCCTGTTTGGTCTAAGTCACAAGGCTGTATTGGAGAATGGCTGTTGCTGAACCAGTATAAGAGCATTAAAAGTTGGGTTTTTCTTAGATATGGTTGAAAATAATTCAGTAATATGGGTATTTGCCTGAGAATTATTTTGGATGATTCAGCTCGAGTTTACATTATCTAAATATAGACATCTAAATGTGGATGTCTGTGTAGAGCCAGAGAAAGACTAAAGTTGGGAAAATCCTCTGGAAGTCCTCCCACTCCATTGCTCAAAGTAGGGCAAACTTCAACTTATAGGGTCTTTTCCAGCTATGTTCTGAGTATCTGCAAAAATGAAGATCCAAAAATTTCTCTGGATGACATGTTATAATGTTTAGCCTCTGTCATAGATTTTTTTCTTCCTCTTAATAACTAATCAGAATTTCTCTTGTTGCAGCTTGTTCCCCTTGATGTTCTATTGAGCACCTGTAAGAAGATCTTGGCTCCTTCCTCTTTATATACTCCCATTAGATATTAGTAAACAGCAATAATAATTTTTTTTTCTCTTTCCTTTTTCTGTTTCTGGACTAACCCAACCTCTCCACTCCTCTTCACACATCACATGCAACAACCCCTTATTCATCTTGGCAATCTCCAGTGGCTTTGTGTGATATCTCAATGAAAACCCTACTGGAGAGCTCAAAGCTCAACACAATACCACAGACTCAGTCACACACACGCTGGTCATGCCAAGTGAAGATACACACATGGACTAAGCACTGAAAAAGTAACAAATCTATAACCTACATGGATGCTGGATCATTGCTAACACGATAGCAAGGACTGTCCACGAGATATACAGTATTTCACCCACTTAAATTACTGTGAAAACCCCCAAGATTAAGCAAAGTAAGAATTACAGGTCTTAATAGAAGTTTCTTAATGGATTGAGAAATAAGTGATGAGCAGAGGAGCCAGAAGTCACTTCTGCAATCAAGATGTGAAATAGACGTGTGAGATTCAGGCTAATATTCAGACACCCATATTTAATTTGTCCATATGCAAAATGCATCTAAAATCCCATTATGATTTATGCATATTTTTGATAAGTTTGATTCACTTAAACATAAATTTCTGAAGCCATTTGAGATAGTCTACTGAGACATTTGGTATCTGAGACATCCACAGTCTCAGACTAAGCAGACATGACAAATCACACCTGTTCCCTTCTGTAGAGTAGGTGGAGACCACGCAAGACACTCTAGAAAATCTCCAATATCACCAAGTATCAACTTATGACCAAAAAAATTAAATCTCCGTTCATTTCTGTGAGTTTAGAACCTAAATCTCATGTAAAAACCTGCAAACAAAACATGCAGTACAATTCAACCTAAATTTAGGAATTTAGCAACATTTTGAGATGCCATAATGTGTTTCAGGTAACTACACAGTGCTGGAAGATGTGCCACAGACACCAAAGATATCCAAGATATCCAGGCTGTCCTAGAACCTCTAAAATGGAAGTAGGTGCTTACAGTTAGACAAGGGAATCACATCCCTAACATCTGAAGTCTTCATACTGAAATAAATCTAACCCTAAATATTTAGGCCAGAGAATTAGTTGTCTGTATAAAAAAACAACCAACCCAACAAACAAAAACAACCCACAAACAATCACACAACACTATTAGGTCATTAAGGAGAACCTAAAATGTGCAGAATTTTATACATTTGTTTATGCAGCACAACAGAGATGCTGACAGCTCTTACCACAGCTGTAAGTGTAAAGGGCTACAACGTGTCACAGATATGCTGCTCAGGTAGACCCTGAGTTGTCCTTCCAAGTCCATATACTGTTGTCTCCCTTATTTTGGATTGCTTTAAAAAACCAAGTTAATCCAATTCATGCAAGAAGGAAAGAAAATTTTTGAAAATTAAAAAAGAGACAGAGAAAAAAGATGCAAATAAAATGTTCTGCTCATCAAATTGTCATATCACATGCAAATCTTATTAATTTACCTTCTGTTTTGAATACTTACAAGCTTCTTATGGCAATGACCAGGCTGAGAATGAAAAATATTCTCCTCTTTGCCATGATCATCTGAAACTGAGCTTTGTCCTACAATAGGTTTTTCATTCTTCATTTCTTCTTCTGAATTTTTCAAGTCAGCAACTGAGATTTCAGAACTGACACCCAAGACCTTCTTAGTTTCTCCTGCAGCCCACATCTGGGAGAGAAACAGCAAAAGGTCTATTAATACAAGGCAGATATCAATGCATGGACTGGAATCATAGACAGTTCAATTATTATGCTATCTGAATGCTTTGCACTAACAATTCCTACCTCTCAGATATTAAACTACTATAAAAAGATAGGAGTACAAAATACTATTCACAATATGAAAAACAAAGCAGTAATTTAGCTATAGTAATTGAAGTTTGTCCTTCCCACTTTAGGTACCATTTTTCGTAGCTGAATTAGAGAATATTATGGTGTATCCTTTTACTTTTCTTTTCTTGCTTTAGAAAGGACAAAGAGCCCGAAGACTAAGGACCCACAATAAATCCTAAAATGTTAAACCTTCTTAAATATTAATCCTGTTGAAAGAAAAATAGAAGGAAGAAAATCCTAAGTAAAGCTTGGCAAGCTGGAATTTCAGACAGATAAATATTACAGACCTGTTGACAGCTGTAGAGGAGGAATTTGGTAAACTGGTGATGCTTTCATTTTCACAATGAAATTGGATTGTTGCTAGAGAATATTTGTATGTCTTCTTACAAGTCTGACTTTTCTGACTGTGAGCAGTAAATCAGAGATATCTTTTATAAAAAGAAGACAAAAAATGTCCTACCAATGATTTTCAAACTATCTTGTTTCCTCAGCTCAGAGCTTCAGTTCTCAGAAAGAAAATAGAACCAAGGTGATCCCTGGTCCCATACAGACCAAGGAATTAATGAATCTAGGCAAAAATTGTGCCAAGAGAAAACTTGGCAGAAAACTGTAGAAAACTAAGGTGTGTCTATTAGCTCTCTAAACTGACAACAAAGAAACTAGTGCAGTGTCTGGATGTCTTTCCACATTAACATGGAACTAACAGCATTAGCTTGGCCAAAGACTGTTCATGCTCTTGTCAACTGGTAGAACTTCTACTCACAGTCACTCAGAAAGAGGCATGATACCCCTTAAATAGCTGGGCATAGTGTCTCTTGGAAAGCTTCCAATTTTAATCACCCTGAAATCTGTCACCATCAGATCTTGCAAGCTCAAGGAACTGTAGAAATGCCAACTTTTCTTATGGATGTAAGTTTATCCACTCATACTTCCTTCATCAGACTACACCATAATAGCAAAGGCAAAATAGCAAACATATCCATAGAAAGGAACTGTACAGAGCAGTAGTGGTTGTGTACAAGAATAGGGCAAACCACACAGAGCACAGGCAACTATGGAATACCCATAAAAGCCACATACTTGCCAGCAAGCCATTCCTATACATTGTCTGTCTGCAAACCCTAAAACTTAACAGGATTTAACTTGGACTTGTGCTGCCTGTTTGTATCACAGAAATGTTTATATCTATTTAAATATATATATATACACACCTGTATTTATAAAGAGAATGACAGAAATTAAGTGTGAGAAAGTATTCTAAGAAACACGCTTAATTAAAATCCTTATTTCCCCAATTCATAAACAGAAGAAAACAAAAGGAACCACATATTATATAAAATAGTTTACAAACCTGTTCTTTCTCTAGAATTTCTCGGGCATCTTTAAGTAATTTTTCCTTTGCCTGTGTTTCAGCAAGAGTAGCTTTATTTTGCTCTTCATATGCCATAGTTACTACAGCCAAGATCAGATTGAAGAGATAAAATGCACATAAAAAGATGACTACTACAAAAAATAAAATGTAGTTCTTTCCAGATGTACGGATAGTCTGTGAGGAAAAGGTAAAGGCTGAAATAAATTCTTAAAAACTAACATTTACAACAGAATTTCAAACTAATTTTCCTATACAATGGATCAATATACTACTGTTTAATGAAAACAGTGCAGAAAATAGATACTGATTTAGTCAGGAGTTCCCCTGGCCTTCAGGTAAAGAAATTTCAGCTCTTAAAAAAAATCTCTGTGATGATATAATATTTTCTCTTTGTCTAACAGACCCTCAAACATTTGTAGTGAATACTGCAGAGGATAATTAACAAAATCCATTCTTAAAATTAAACAAAAAATCTTCCAGCAAATCAGGCAAATGATAAACACATTTCAAGTTATGAGAAGATAATTTCAGATGTAGATAGACACACAGGTGACTACAGAAGAAATTGAGTATCACTAATGTTAAAACAGGTGCAGACTTTCTTGGTGGGCATAAAGCTCTAAACTGCTTGTCTCAAGCCATCCCAGCAGGTGACAGAAGTGCTTACTTGTCTGTAGAGACGCTCCCAGCAATCCTGTGTCATCAGACGGAACAGAGAAAGGAAGGCCCAGCCAAAATGATCAAAACTTGTATAACCAAAGTCAGGGTTCTTCCCAACGTTCTGGCAGCTATAGTTTTTTGGGCATTCTTTGCTAACCGCAAAAGACAAGTTAAACAATACTTACTTGCAGCATTAAATTGTACCTGAAAGCATCCAATAGCTATATCAAATAGAGATTTATTCAGTTTATCTGAAAGTCCATGTCATTATTCCCCCATATGATCCTGCCAGAAGGGCTGATTTGTAACAGATAGTCCTAGAAAGCCATTTGTCTAGTCAGACACTAGACAGAAACTCTAGTTCTGAAACTCTTTGCTGAGGTAGGATACATGCAAGCAACTAGATACAGAGGGGAAAAAACAGAAATATGTTTACTTTTAAATAATTCACCAAAATGAGGAGACTATTAATATCTCTCAACTGTTTACTCATCTGTTCCCCTCTTCCTCTATATCATTCTACATTACCATTATATTACCAGTGGTTAGCAACAAAGCACATATATAATTTCTCACATCCTAATAATTCACTTCATTATTGCTTCATTACTTTACTAAATTAAAAACCCACACACACATTGCACCCTCCTGAGAAATGGTCACCATTCCTTTAGTGCAAAAATAAAACCACAGTACATCTGGAGGAAAAATAACTGGCTTGTTCACTTACTCACGATCTGCACTGAACCCACAGAGCAATATTTCAGATGATTTATTCATTCTGTAGCAGATATCTAATTAAAAAAAAAGTAAATCAAGGAATCATAAAATCAGAAGTTGTCAGTTACTACAGCACACTGACAGTAAATCATCCACTACTATGCTTTAAAAAATATCTTGACAGACCAAATCTGTGTGAAAGACAACAAAGGGTATACTGGGTATTTTCTCAGCAGATCTGTCCCTATGGCAAGTTTTCTTAAAAAAATAAATTCACTTCACAACTCACAATGTAGGATTTTATTTGACCTCCAATACAAATAAGGATAGCTGAAAGAAATAGGGAAAATCTCCAAATGATATACATTAAGTGATGGAAAAAAAAATTCTCTACACAGTACCCCTAAAATTAGGATCCCCATGCAATGTGCATAGGTAAAAGCAACTGCTGATGGAAAACTCAGGCCCTTCTATCCCACAGACTGCTAATCATTCTCCAAACCCAAGATTCACTAATCTCACATTTACTTCTCCCATGCACTTTGTATTACTACTCATGCAAATGGAAAGACTTCCCTCCTTGTGAGAAACACATGCAACTATATTTTAACATCCCTGTGAAAAAAAACCAAGACATACATATGAAGATACACAGCCATGTAAAGGGAGAAAAGAATAAAATTTACCGTTACTATTTGGAACATAAATCTTGGCATCCTTACAGAGTGTGTCATTGTACATAGTGTTATTGAGGACACATTTGTATTTTAAATTGCCCATAAAAAGCTGGAGGCCTATCAGAGCAAATACACTCAGGCAAGAAACAGTCAAGATCAACACATCAGTAAGTTTCTTAATAGACTCAAGAAGTGAATTTACAATGACTTTCAGACCTAGGAAAATAAGATACACAAAATGAGAAGAGGAATGCAGCAGCGTACAAGAGTTGCAGGTATGTTAAAAAACAATTAGTTTAAATGGTTTTGTAAGTTTGGATTATTAAATGAGGCAACATAAACCATACGAATGAGTAAAGTATTTTCACTTAAATTTCCTAATCATAACTTATTTGGTTTTTACTTCCTCCTCACACTGATTTTACTAACTTGAACATTCTCAGTTAAGATGGCATCGAAACCATTGCAAACTTTAATGAACATGGAGAGATTTCTGTGCTTGATTAGCATTAAACAAGTACTCCACATTGTGCCAAATACACATTACAGTAAAGGATAGCTTCTGCTGACCTCAGGGAATTCTGTCTTAGAAGACAATGCCCTACAGATGTCACCAGTTTAAAAGCAGAAGAACATTTATGACAGTGGAAAGGGAACAAATATATTTTGGGGAGCACCCAGGCAGAAAAGGACCCGGTAGTTCTGGTGGACACCAAGTTGAACGTGAGCCAGCAATGTTGCCTTGCAACAAATACGGTGAATAGCATTATGGGCTGTGTTAAGCAAAGCATGGCCAGCAGGTCGAGGGAGGTGATCACTCCCCTCTACTCAGCACTGGTGGGGCCACATCTGGAGTACTGAGTCCAGTTCTGGGCTCTCCAGTACAAGAGGAACATAGACATAATGGAGAGAGTCCCTTTAAGACCAAAGGGTCACAACGATGATGAAGGGACTGGAGCATCTTTCATATGAATAAATGCTGAGAGAGCTGGGACTTGTCAGCTTGGAGAAGAGAAGGCTGAGGGGGATTCTCACCAGTGTCTATAAATATCTGGAGGGAGGGTGCAAAGAAGATGGAGCCAGGCTCTTTTCAGTGGTGCCCAGAGGTTGTGGGCACAAATGGAAACACAGAAGGTTCCCTGTGAACATCAGGAAACACTTTTCTGCTGTGAGCACTGGCACAGGATGCTCAGGGTAGTTGTGGAGTCTCCATACTTAGAGACCAAAAGCTGTCTGGGCATGGTCCTGGGCAGCCAGCTCTAGCTAGCCCTGTTTGAGCAGGGGGTTTGATCCAGATGGCCTCCAGATGTTCCTTCCAACCCCAAACATCCTGTGATTCTGTTAAAATGGATAATAGTTAAACCGAAGACTAATATTCTGGCAGAATAACTGAGTTTAAAATATTACATAGGCCAAAAGTGATATCCAGGATTTTTCTAGAATTCTTTCATCAAAAAAAAAAAAAAAAAAAAAAATTACATTTGATCTCTGTTCCCCATTGTGAATATGAAAGGCAAAGAGTTCCATGTTTAATTCCCGTGATAATTCCATACCAAAATAAAAAATATTTGTAATTACAGAGAAATTGTAACATTATCCATTATGATAACGGGATATATAACCATTAGACATGTTCAAATTAGTTTTTGCAGTTAGATTCTGAAATCCATACTTTGGTATCCAAAGTCGTGGCAAAAAATATTGAATATCTGGACAGCATATGCAAAATTGTTGAAAGTATTATGCTTAATCCAGACAGTGGCTGTGGTTAGTAAACAAACTAAACTCTGAAATACTGTGCAGTCAGCATTCTGGGAAATAAACCATAGAAGATTAAGCTAATGAAGTATAAAGTGAACCAGAAATATGCTGATATAGATATCCTGTGTTAAGACAGCATATTGGACAGGGTGTGCTGCTCAGGAAAGACAAAACCAGGAAGACAAAGGCACTGGAGTAAGTACAATTGAACATTAGTGATGGGATTGAAAAAAAGCAGAAAATAGGAGAAAAATTGCCTGCATCAAAATCATTTTGAGGAAAGATAGTTAAAAAATAATTCTGTTAGGATGGTGCCAAGAGTTACTAGAGACTGCAAAAGAGTCACACCTTGGGATCCTGTTCACCACCATAAAAACTGACAAGAAAACCAAAGACAAGAGCAGGAGAGGAATTAGAAATAGAACACTGCTGAAATGGAGAGAAAATTAAGATATGTTGTTCCTTACCTGGTATTACTGAAATAGCTTTCAAAGTCCTCAGGACCCTGAAAGTTCGAAGAGCTGAAAACTTGCTCGTGGTGTTACACAAAGTAACATACCTAAAAAGTTAAACCACCAGATAACTGAATGACAAAAATCTACCTTTTCAAGGCATAAACACATTGAACACAGTAATGAATAAGTTAAAGGGAAATAAATAGTACAAATATGTCCTAAGGTAGATGTCTAAACTTAGGATTCAGAGTTAGTTTCTATGCATCAGTATAAAATAATGAGATTTTTGAATAGTGCCACTGAAAAGAAACAGCAAGTTTTTATTTAGTGTGGATTTGGATGCTTAACTTCTGAAGTGTTTATCCATCAATATCTCAACTAAATATAAACCCTTCAATGTCATAACCACACCCTCTCATACCGAGGCTAGCCTGATTTACACCACATGTTGCAGCTATATCAAAACTACACAAAAGATACTTTAGGAGAAGGGAATTGAACAAAACTAGGCTTACAATGTTAATTCTGTACTATGTGGCTGCCTTTCTTTTTTTTAATAGTGAGCTAAGAACTCTCAGAGGATGTTGAAACTCCATCATTAGAGAAATTCAGAACTTGACTGGACGAGGTCCTGAGCATCCTAACCTAAATTCGTCCAGCTTTTAGCATGGAGCTGGACCCCAAGATCTCCAGAGCTCCCTTCCAGCCTAAAGTAGTCTGTACCTCTAATAAATTAGAATGAGACAACTGAAAATTATTCAGACATGCTAAACGAGAGAGCTTTGAAAGCTCCGAGACTGGTCATGAGTGAATCTGCAAGTAAGACTATTTTGCTTTAGAAATTAACATTCTTAGACATAGTATCTTTGTGTTAAAAATAACCCATAATGTGTTTCCATCCAGGATTTTGTCCAGAAGCTTTCTGAATGCAACCAAGTTTTTTTGCATCCACAACCTCCTATGGGAATACGCCTACATATAGTGTGAAAAACTATTCCTTTCTTTTTTATTCTGCCATCTGACAACTTCATTTGGTGTCTTCAGCTCTCATTGTAGGAGAAAAAATAAATTATTTCTTCTCTTTTTGGCTATGTGCCATAGACTTCACCTATGTTCCTGTTCTGGTCATTTTTTCATGAGAGTTTTACTCTATCTAATTTCTTATTATGAGGAACACAAGATATACACCTGCTCAGTATCTTTTTTAACTCTGTCATCTTTTGAGATGTCAGAAAAAAATACTACACATAGTTCTGAATTAAAATACAGGCCACACTGTGAAATAACTGTGTTCTGCTTCTTTATTTTTCATTCATAATGTCTTAATTTTCTCTTTCCTTCTTTGACCATTGGAGTGGTGTTTTCACGAGACTATTTTAATTCCAACAGCATCTTCCCAACAAGGGAGAGCTATTTCAGAGCCTTTAACTGTGTATCTACAGCCAGGGCTGTTTTTCCTTCAGCAACACTTTACATTCTTGGGATTTCTTCTTGTTTATCATCATGTTATTCAACACCTTGTGACCCACTTTGGATCCTCCCCAAATGAGTTTCATCTGATGCAGAGTACAACTAGGACAACATAAAAAGGCCTCTTTGGTTTCAGCTGTCTATGCAATTGCCTCTTAACAAAATTTAAATATGCACTGAATTGAGAAGAATCACACAGTTCTACGAAGAGCTTCGCATTTAGGTTTTCCTTTAAAGTCTATGACTATTTTTCAGCTTGCAAATATGCAAAGTGTGATTCAAACACAGCAAACTCTTCAGCAGGTAGGATACCAACCACTCTACAGAGCCTCAGCAATATCAGATAGCATTTTATCTGCGTGTTTGTCCCTTGAGTGTAAAAAAATAGGTAAGTTTTACTTACATGACAAGAATAACGACAAGATCCACGCAGTTCCATGGATCTCGAAGAAAGGTAAATTCATTCCAAACAAATCCTCTTGCTAATATTTTTATCATTATTTCACCAGTATATATGCCAGTAAAAATATGTCTGAGATGGAAAGTGGATATTAAAGTTACAGAAATAAACATATTCATGAGATGGAGACACATTCAGGCACATTTCTACATTTTCTATGACTTAGGTACTGGACGGAGATGAAGGCAGAAAATATGAAGTAAAATTGGACAGGTTACATTACTGACAGAAGCATCATGAATATAAGAAGATTCCTTCCTGAATTTTAGTAAGATTTCCATGTAAATCTATAATTATAAAAGTTCACATAAGCATACCACAACATTTTTGGATTAAATAATTTTAAGACAGTGTTTATCTTCTAAAGCAGGCTGGAAAATTTCAGAGCTTCAACATTTTGGCAGAACAATAACAGCAGAGACTTATTTTAGACTGTAAAGTTCACACATTTTATACACTTCTTCTGACAAATACTCTATAACTGAAAGAAATTCTACATAAAATTAAGCTATCATTATCACCATGCTTACCCCAAAATAAGAGGAATTAAAATTATAGAATCTCTGAGGCCCCAGGTCCATTTTCAAGATTTAATTCCAGAACATTAACTCAAATTACACTGAATACAGTGCACAATTACAAAAGGTAACAGGACACTATAAATAGATGGCTTCCTAATATGAACAACTGTTACAACTGAACTAGGGTCATCTCCAGGAAACAGCAAGAAAGAATGGAATGAGTATTTACCTCTGTATACTTTTGGCATGAGCCAGCCATAACACATATTCAGGTTATTGCTTTCGATTGAGATATTAAGTTAGAACCCTGCTGCACATTGTCTCTAAAAGGCTTAATCCTTAAAAAGAAAAATGGGGCAATCTTCTGTATTACATCAGATGGCAAAATCAGCCGATGTAGAGAAAAGGGCACATGGTGTAAGTCTAAGAAAAGGCACTGAAGCTCCACAGAAGACTGTGTGATATAATGATAATAATCTTAAATATTCCTCAAAGGAGTGTCTAAGAATTTTTAAGACCCAGAATAAGATCACTATATAATTAAAATTTTTCAGTCCAGCATGTTAGCATTGATAGAAAAAGAGTGAACAAATGGCAACTGAAATACTTACTCAGTCCAGTTGAGATTTTCTGGAAGCTTGTTTACAGCCATGGAAGCACAATTGAGTATCACAGTACATATAATAAAGCCAACAAATACTGTGAATAAGAAGTTAAGGAAAAAGTGCCATATAATAAAACAATGAATTTTAGAAAATTTTCTCATTTACATAGAAAAAAAAAATCATAAAAATATTCAGATCATTACTTTGGTTTTGAATATGCTCAGGATTTTTCACGTGTTCTCCAAAGAAAGTGATATCACATCAAACTTCTGCTCAGCTGGATAAACTTTATGATTTTAAAACTAACAATGAATTATCTGCATTTGGAGATGGTTTCAGAAGTTGGCACATTAGTGGGACATAATATGTTTGACATAAGAGAGGAGGAAAACAGATGAAAAAAAACCCTAAGTGTTTACAGCTATTTGAAACTTTAGGAACCTCCATTTCTTCCAAGCAGGAGCATCGAATAAAGAGAAATGGGCCACAACTCCATATTAATTAAGGAGTTTAAGCCTAGGGAAACCAGAAGAAGGAGTTTAATTATCAATAACCAGTGTTCCTTGAAACTGGGATTCTATATATACATTCCTACAAGAGGCACCTAAGCTCTGCTACAAGTTCATAAAATTTTCTAGTTTTATGTGGCACATGATGGAAGCACACACAAGAAAAAACATCCTTTTATATGAAAGTTAATTTGTCACCTAATAAAAGTGGGAGGTTTTTTTTAAACAAACATTTGCCTTAATTGAGAGCTTCTTTGAAACTGAACAGCAAACTTAGTAATTTCTAATATCAGGAACATGCATTCAAAGTTAGTCCTAAATTGCCATAAAAGGACCTACTTCTACAAATTCGTAATTCCAAATGAAACCAGATTTTGGAAGAAAGAGCAGAAACTATCCAGCCTATATTTTTGCACCCATAACCCTCCCCATTTTTACATTCTTTGTTTTGAAAAAAATTAAAAAAATAAAATGGGTGATCTTCAGAACTTTTATAAACTCAAGTGTGAAATACATTTCCTAGGATAACACCAGAGTCTATCAGCACAGCATTGCCATGAAATCACATCCTTCAGGTTTTAATAACTAGGGAGTCACTGTTTATTAGAACATACAAGCTTGTCACCACAGTAGATACTCAGAAAAAGTTCTTGAAAAAGCTAAAGTATCATACAGTAGCCTCCAATTGTTGTTTCATAACCTTAAAGTGAGCTTTTTGGCATTTTTACTTGTACCTACTTGTACTTATCTTGTACCATGTAAATTATCTGCTGTAAAACAAGATCCAACATAACTTTTTAAAGCTCTCTCACCACCACAGAAGCTTACATTTACATTAATATGAATAGAGAAACAGAATGCCAAAAAATTGTACAACGTATTTTAAAACTGAAATAAAAGGATATGAGTGGGTCAGAATTTTAATTGCTGCTCTTCTGAATGGATTAAAAGGACTAAATACACACAGGGCAGGTGTGGCACTAAATCGGAAAATAGTCCTCCTTTTATTTATCACCATAAAGGTCTGTAAAAAAAAGATTAACAGTATAGGAAATATTTTTATGAAACAATTTTCTCCCTAAATTAAATGTTTAGGTTCTTAAATCTGCACTTAGAACTGTATCTAACTGCATTTTGAAATATCTCTAAATTATCAAGTCACACTGAAGTCCCCCTGAGCTACTTTAAGGTCTGTGCGGCTTAGTACTTTTGCCACGTGAAATGAAAATTAAATCTCTTAAATCAAAATTACAGTTCACTACCTTTTATGTAAATTTCTTCAACCAATTCAGTCTTAGTTTCTCTTCATCAAGAATATCACTGATTATATTGAGGAAAAAAATGTCTAGAAGAAAAAAGCTTTCTGCATGCTCTCTGATTATTATATTCCAGTGACTTGCTGATGTACATAAAAACCAGCAACACAGGACAGGATGGAGCCTTTTGCTCTTCAGCTCAAGTCCCTCAACAGTGAACCATGAGACACTTCATATCTTTACATCTACTTTACACACTCCTATAAGCAACGACACAAAACACTTTGCAATAGCATGGACTACATGCAATATAAATAGGGTGCAACAAACAAAGATGATGAGACAAAATAATACAAAATTAATTTACTACAATGAAGATAGGAGGGTTCATTACAGGGTACTAGAAATATCTCAGATATGTCTCCCTTAATTTGTATATTTGTAATTCAACAAAAGTGCAGTAAGTCAGCAATTCCAGCATGATCTGCTGTTCGACGGGCACTGTTTACACAGCAGTGAGCTCAGCCCCACAGACATCATGGAAATTGCTCTAAAAAACAAAGTGTCAGCTATCCCAAACATACATTTCCTATCAAAATGTATTTAACAAGTGTGTCATGTTCTCATAATTAATTCTAACTGTTTACTGGACCCTAAAGTACCTTTTCAGTATGCAATATGTAGCATACCTTAGCACTGTTGCCAAAAAAAACACTAGTAATATTCAAAGATCTGTCCATAAAACAACCAAAAACCAGCATCTCCTGAGCAGAGCTTTTACTAGCTCTTAAGAGTTCAGCAGACAAAACTAAAGCAAAAAATGTTTTTGAAAGTTTTCACCTTATGATCACTGTAGTATGGATCAACATCTTCCAGGGGTTCCCCAATGAGCTCCACAGGAACATCTCCATACAGAGATGGCAGTTTTTTACAGGTTTTCAGATCAAGCTGAGGAGTAAGTTTTTCTTCTTCAACTCCTTGGTCCTTATTCTTCTGGTTAACTTTGGCTCGCTCCTTTTTTTTCTCAGCAATTCTTTCCTCAATCGCTGCCAAGGACTCGGGGGTGAAACGCCGAAAGCTGTTAGCTTCTGATGGCCAAAACAAGGGATCCATTTTTCCTCCTATGTGTTTGTTTCCAGTGCTAGAAGTACTGACCAAAAGAAAACTACTGACAATTAGAACATAATAGAAATAACGCACAACTTAAAAATAATACCTACTAGATGAATTTTTTTTTTCCTTCAGTGAAACCTCGTATGAGAATAGAATCATTTCAGTCTGAAGGGACCTACAACAATCAGCTAGTCAACTGCCTGATCACTTCAGGGCTGACCAAAAGTTCAGCATTGTTCAAGTGAAATGAAGATTGACAACTGATTCTGGATCCACCCTACATCATTCAGGTGGCCGAAGAGATATTTTTTTCTTTGCCTTTCCAGCTGGGAAGTGACAAAATCACATCTCTGTCAGAACCCCAACAATCACCTGATTGTTTCTCTCTGGCACCAGCACCTTTCTACCTTAGTACAAAGGAGAAAGGTGGCAAGGTGATGTGAAGCACTGAAGTGACTTAAGGCAAATTGCTCTAAGTATTCAATTACTAATGACTTCCAGCCCAAATTTACTAAATTACTGGTAGATGATAGAAATTTACATTGCTCATCCACAAACAATGAAGAAAATTTTGGCCCATTACAGGATGACCTGTCATTTGTCACTCACATCAAAACCAACTACTCCCATCTAATAAACACTTTTGTTCACCAACAAATCTTTAAAACGCTGTGCATTTTTGACTGTCTGAGGTCTGTATGTACCAGTTCAGCTTTGTGAGCTCCTGTGTGGGCCATGTTTGAGGTTCAATACTCTGTTGCAATTACAGTGCTCTTTAAATGCAGATATATTTCCTTAAAAAACCTATGCAACTGTCTGGAACCAGAATAACTGTGCAACGATTTTGGTTTGGTTTGGGGATTTGTTGGCTTGGGGTTTTTTTCCATTCCTCTAGGACTTTACAAGCAAGTTCAGATCTGATCATAGACCTGCAACTCAGAGATCAATATTTACTGTGGTAAAAAATTGGAAGTATATAACCAAAGAATTATTACTTTGCAAAAACACAAACATTTATTTCCAATCGAGAGCTCAAAAGAAAGTGAAAATAAACATGATTTTGTTTGCCAATTTTTAATAATTCTAAGAATATTAATTTTGTCTCCCAAGCAGTTTTAGGAACAACAGAGATCTTTTAGGTAACTACATAGACTGTAATAAATGAAGAAAAAAATATTGTTTTAGTAAATACAAAGATTGTTCTAGTATTAAGAACTTAGGAACTGAAGTTTTAAAAAATGAAGTCTGAATCTGTCAAAAGGGCACAGGGAGGACCACGAAGATGATCAGAGGGCTGGGACACCTCTCCTACAAGGACAGGCTGAGAGACTTGTGGTTGTTCAGCCTGGAGAAAAGAAGGCTCTGGGAAGCCTTCCAGTATCTGAAGGAGGCCTACAAGAAAGCTGGGGAGGGACCTTTTACAAGGCTTGCAGTGACAGGATGAGGTGTAATGGCTTTAAACTAAAAGAGGGGAGATTTAGATTAGAAATTAGGAAGAAGTTCTTCACTGTGAGGGTGGGGAGGCACCGGCACAGGTTGCCCAGGGAAGCTGTGGATGCTCCATCCCTGGAGGTGTTCAAGAACAGGCTGGATGGGGCCTTGCACAACTTGCTTTAGTGGGAGGTGTCCCCACCTATGGCAGGGGGGTTGGAACTAGATGATCTTTAAGGTCGCTTCCAACCCAAACCATTTTGTGATTCTATGATTCCATGAAAAGCACTGAACAAGAGAAAAAACACCCTACACATCCTCTTCAGCAGCAGTGACTGGAAGTTATAATTGGACAAACACTCATGGACAATGTGAGAGGATTTCTTCAGAAGATCGGTACCAGTGGTGTACTTGTGCTCCCATGGAAAACAAACTCTCTGGCCTTTCAGATGCTGCCAATCATTTCTAGATTGTGACTTAGGTTAGTGAAAAGGAAGCCAAGATGAAAAAATCCTTGCAATACAGATGATGAAAAAATTTTGAAAAGACAGAGTGACTACTCCAAATTCCTAAAGCTCAGCTAAACTCAGTGACCTCACTATATGCTGCTGAAATAGTTAAATTTTTAAGTCAAGACACTGAAGTAAAATGTTGCCTTTAGAAATAATTTAAGTCTTTGCACTGGATAGAAAAGTCTCCCTAGGTAGGAGATTCTGTGAGGGAACCTACAGAACAGATATTCCCACAAGTAAGCTAAAGTACTACTGAATGGGATTTCTTCTAGAATCTGGGAGAACAAACTTTGGGGTGTATATACAAGTCAGTGTGAGGAAATCCTAACAATGCACTACCTAAAGCATGCTGCCAAAGGAAATACAAGGCTAAGGTCCAGATCTGTTAACTTCCTCTTTCAATCTAGTTCTAGCATGTATTATAACCAACTCTGAGTCTCAGATTATTTCTATTCACTCCCTTGTCAGTAGCCACTCACTGATTATTGCCTGTAAGCACCTGGATCTGAAAAAAATAAAGGATAAATTATCTGCTTAGTTTGGTTTTAGTATGTGTTTAGCAGATTTTTTCACATGGGAATAAAGAATAAAAATGTGTCTCTGTGGTAGGATTTTGATCAATAGCACAAAATCAACTACCTGGTTAACACAGGTCAAGAAGTATCTTAAAATTAATTAAGAAAGAAAGAAAGAAAGAATAAGCCATGTAACAACACTCACCATGAGATTTGCCACCACAGGTCCAGAACTATTAAAATCTATGCTCCAGTCAGAGCCCTGCTCCTTTTTCAGCACTTATCCACAGTATTTCCAAAAAGCTTGTCATCACCCATCTGTGTATTTGTCAAAACCCATTTTAAGTGGGCATTTGGAAATCAGATTTTAATAAAACTTACACACAGTTCTGACCACGATAATAATGAAACATCCAGAACCAGCTATTTCCAAGTATCTAATGAAGGAATACTTAACCACACTTAAGTGCACACATGACACTTAATTTGGTTCATGGAACATGATGGCCTTTTTACCAATATTGGCAAAATCAGCAGCCTTTTCAGTACCTTGAAAATATACAAATTTATATTAACATACAGGCGAGATATACAGAAACACAAAGAAGTTATGCTTGGATAGTCTGTAGGTAGACATCCTTGTTGAGGTCCTGCATGTGAACAAGACATCCTAACTCCCATCACATTCAGTGGTTATCTGGTGGTTTGTATAGTCAATCAAAGTTGTAGAGATATTCAAAGGGAGCCAGCTGCTTTAAAATTATCTAAAACTCCTCTGACAACATCAGCTAAATCCCCACTGACTCTAATGGGAGATTAAACACTCAGATCACAAACAGCTTCATTTAGACACCTAAATACAGGTATGAATCTTGCACTGAATCATTCCATAGCTGCTGCAATTTTCCTCACTGTTAAACAAGAGACGTCCAACACCCTGGAGTCATCTTACTGTATGACCCACAAGAGCAGAACTGGATGTCAGCAAAACCAGTGGTCTGCACCAGCTATTTCAGTTTTCAAACTTCATACAGCATCCCTTCACACTGATCTGAAAATTCTGGATACTCCAAGCCTCACCAAGTTCATCATCACCATGGATGCAATAGACATGTATACTATAATGAATGCCCATTATTGAAAAGAATAACACATTCCACAGAAACAGTGATTTAAAAAGGAATTAAATGACCGTTTTACATGTAGCTCAAATATTTTTCTATCAGATGAACCTCTGCTCATCTAGAATAAGGAAACATGAGAAAGCAGCTCAAAGCAGCCCCTTATGAAACAGGCCAGGAATTCTCTCTTCTCTATGTAGTACAATATCTTGCAAAAGCCTGCTGCTACCACCTACTCCAAATATTTCTTCTCTCTGGTCACCATCTCCTTCAATTTAACTACCAATAATTATCAACAGATTTAATAGATTTCAGTCCTTTGTACAATCAAACTCAGACATTATATTGGACTGCTGCTGTTTCTAAAATATACGGTCATTTCTTGCACATAGCACTTTGTCCCCTACTTCCCACTTGTCCCCCTGCCCCAACAAAAACTTCATGCTTGGATAAGTATCTACCAATGCAGGTTTTTTTAGTTGGTTTGTTTGTTGTTTTGTTTTGTTTTTTAAACAGATATACAAAGTCATTCACAACAGCAATATAAAATAATAAAACCTATTCACTCATTACATCCAAAATCAGAAATGTATGCAACAGGCTAGACTGTGCATTACTCAAATATCCTGAAAAAAAATCACTCATCAGCATTTTTGTGATAAAAACATTCCAGATTTGTGTAGGTAAAGAAATTCTACTATGTCAAGATAAGTACAGCTCAGATTAGATAGTATTAAAACCAATCTGAGCACTACTGTGCATAAACTGATATAACAAACCAACAGGATAAAAAGTAGTCAGTAATTAATATGAGAAATAGATTAATTTGTAGCAAAATATTATATTGCTACATGTAAACTATAGGAAGAGCCACGTGATTACAGTAATATAGTAGTTACACAGTAAAGGCACATTTTCTAGCTGTACCTAAAATAAAACCATGTCTAAGACTTAAAAACATGTGCACATATTTTTAAACATATGTGTACACAGATTTAAATTAAGAAAATTAGCAAATGAGATTTTCTCATAGTTCATAAATATTTAGCAAAATCAAAGTACTTACAACATCCCCTTTGAAATGAAAAACATGCACACTGATTTCTGAAGCCAATTTCAGCTAGCTTGTATCTTCAAAGAGACAGAAAGTCTTCATTTTCTCACCTGCACCAGCCTGTTCAAAAGAACATCCTCTCTACCTCCCATGCAGAAAGTTTTCTTTTGTATTGGGATGCCTGGGGGAGGGATGGAGGGTGGAGCTCGATTGCTCTTCTAACACCAGTAAATTAAATATTGTGATTTTACTGGGAACATTAAAAAATGAAAAGGTTTGTGGGTGATACTTTTGAATAATCACCTAACGTTAAACAATTACTTTCTTTCTGCTGAGATCATAGTCACATTTATTGAAAGCAAAGAGG